TCACCTTGATAATATTTTTATATTGGCGCGCTCACTTTAATATTATTTAAATATACATGTGTTCACCTTATTAACTTTTTAAATGTATATTTGATCACCCTCATAATATTTACATATTGACGTGCTCACCTTAATAATGTTTAAATGTAGGTGTGCTCACCATAATAGTATTTAAATGTATATTGCTCACCTTAATAATATTGAAATATTGAGGTGCTCACCTCAATAATATTTAGATATATTATGTTCTCTACTCATTAATTTTTGAATATAGATTTGCTCGCAAAAATAATATTTTAGTATAAATGTGCACACCTACATATTTTTTAAATATAGATAAGCTCATCTTAAAACTATTCAAATAGAGATGTGCTCACTATAATTATATTTAGCTATAGTTATGCTCACCTCAATATTTTTTGATTAGAGATGTACTTACCTTAATATTATTTAGATATAGATGTGGTCACTTTAAAAATATTCAAATGTACATATGCCCACCTTAATAAAATTTAATTATAGTTGTGCTAACGTTAATAATATTTTAATATAGATGTGCTCACCTTAATAACATTTAAATACATAGGTACTTAATAATCTTTAAATATAGATTTGCTTACAATAATAATATTTAAATATAGATGTGCTTACCTTAATAATATTAAAATATATAGATGCTCTTCTTAATAATCTTTAAATAATAGACTTGCTTACAATAATATATAAATATTGATGTGCTCACCTTGATTATATTTAAATATATAGGTGCTCATCTTAATAATCTTTAAATATAGATTTGTTATAAATAATATTATTTAAATATAGATGTGCTGACCTTAATAATTTTTAAATATAGATGTGCCTACTTTAATAAGTTTAAAATATAGATTTGCTCACCTTAATAATGTTTAAACGTACCTTGTCTTTCCTTGTTATTTTTAAAACAGGTGCCCTCACTTTAATTTTATTTAAATTTAGATGTGCTCACCTTAATATTATTTAAATATTGTCGTGCTTGCCTTAATATTCTTTAATTATATATGTGCTCACCCTAATGATTTATAAATGTTTATATGCTCATTTTAAAATTATTTAAATATATATGTAGTAGTGCTCACTATAATAATCTTTAAATATAGATATGCTCACCTTTTCTTAAATATAGATGTACTTTCCCTAATATTATTTAAATATTGATGTGATCACCTTAAAAATATTCAGATTTATATATGCTCACCTAAATAAATTTTTAATATAGATGTGCTTACCTTCATTTTATTTGAATATTGAATTTCTATCAATTTTTGTTTATAGATGTGATCTCCTAAAAAAAATTTAAATGTATATATGTTCTCCTTAATAAAATATTATGTAGATGTACTCACTTTAATAATATTTGATTATTGATGTGTTAACCTTAATTATATTTAATTATAGATATGCTCACTTAACTATATTTAAATATAGATATGCTCACCCTGATAATATCTAAATGTAACTAGGCTCACCTTATTAATTTTTTAATACAGGTGCTACTACCTTATAATTGTTTTTATTTAGATATGCTTACCTTAATAAAGTTTTAATGTAGATATGCTCACCATAATAATATTTAAGTATAGATGTGGTAGCTTTAATATTATTTAAACTTATATATGTTCTCCTTATTAATATTTAAATATAGTCATGGTCATCTAAATAATATTTAAATATAGATGCGCTCACCTTAATAATTTTTAGATATGCTCATGTAGATATGCTCACTTCAATGATATTTAAATATAGATGTATTTACTTTAATATTATTTAAATATAAATTTGCTCGTCTTAATAATTTTTAAATATAGAAATGCTCACCATAATAGTATTTAAATGTAGATGTGTTCACCTTTTTCAAATTTAGATGTATCACAATAAAAGTGTTTATATGTAAATGTGCTCACAATAATATTTTATACTTACAGATGTGATCACCTTTTTGTTTTTCCAAATTTTGATGTGCTTACCATTAAAATATGCAAATGTACATGTGCTTTTGTTAGTAATATATAAACATAGATGTGCTCACTTCAATAATATATAATTATAGATTTGCTTACCTTAAAAATATTTAAATATTGATTTGGTTACCTATTAATATTTAATTATTGATTAACTCACCTTAAATTTTTTAATTTTAGATGTGACAATTTAATAATTTTCATATATATTTACTCTTATACTATTTAAATATAGATTTGCTTACCTTGATATTGTTTAAATATTGATGTGCTCGCCTTAATAGTATTTATAGTTGGAATGTCCCATCCTAATAATATATAAATATAGATGTGCTCACCTTATTAATAATATTGAAATACTGATGTGTTCACCCGAAAATATTTTATTATAGGTGTGCTTACTTTAATAATTTTTAAATATATATGCGCTCACCTTCATAATATTCAATTATAAAATTCCTCACTTTAATAATTTAATATAGATGTGCTCATTTTAATGATATTTAAATATAGATGTGGTCATCCTAAAAATGTATAAATGTAGATGTGCTCACCATAATAATTTGTAAACATTGATGAGCTCACCTTAATAATATTTAATTATAGATTTGCTCGCCTTAAAAGTATTTAAATATAGATGTACTTTCCATAATAATTATAAATATAGATGCACTTTCTTAATAATATTTAATTATAGGAGTACTCACCTTAAAGGGATCCCCAATTGCTGTGACAAGTTGTGTTCATATTAAAAAAAAAAAACATTTGGGCTGAATTGTTTTAATTGAAACGAAATAATGATTTGATACCAACAAAATTAAAACTATCATTTTAGTCGAAGCATGGGTTTTTCATTTATTTTTTTTTACTTGTGGTCTGTTTAATGTTAGCTGCAATCTGCAGACTTGATAGTTTATTCCATGCGTGTTTAATTCGTAACAGTTTCGGTATATGGCGTCATCTCTTTTTTTTTTTTAAGATACCGTTTTTTTTTTTGTTGTTTTTTTAAAGATATAAGTATTTTTTACTCTAATACAATCAGAGAATCAAATATTTGTATAATTTTTTAATAAATTTCAAAAAATATTTGTGATTTGTTAAAAAATTATACAATTATATATATATATATATATATATATATATATATATATATATATATATATATATATATATATATATATATATATATATATATATATATATATATATATATATATATATATATATATACATATATATATATATATATATATATATATATATATGTATATATATATATATATATATATTTACTTGCTTTAATATTACTTTGTTTTAAAAGCAAGCCCAAGTCATAACACAATTGTACATATTTTGTGATTATTAGAGTTTGTAGGCAGAGAAAAAATAAAGGCTGTATGATGCTATTTCTTGTTTTATATTTAGCTCATATGGTTTAATAGAGTTGTTTGTTTTATGTTTAATTTACATTTAGTTATATTTTAACTCTTTCATTACCACTAGCCACTGGTAGCAACTTTCGAGTATGCTTTACAAATTATCTTTATTTCTACATAAATTTCCATTGTAGACATAGAATTTGTTTGTTCTAAAGGTTTAATTAATTCTCTACATAATCAAGAAAAAATAAGAGCTATATTGTGTAATTATAAAAAGTTAAAAAATCACAAAGTTAAAAAATCTTTTAAAAAAAAACTTTAAATATAGTTATAAAATAAAACAGTGTTAACTAAAACTTAACTTGTAGAAGTTTTAAGTATTTAGTTAATTAATTACCAAATTATTTTGAAGAAAAAATATTATTTTTATTCATTAAATGAGGTTTGTTTTGGACTTAATGTTTTAGTTAACTAGTTACTTTTTATAAAAACAATAGTTTTAAGCACTTTGCATTTCTTATTGTTTAATGATGCATGTTAAAAACTATTATTATCGAATTTTCAATAATTGTCAATGTTATGCTATTCAAATGTTATTCAAAAAAATAATGTAGTTGGTACAAAAAGATTTTTGTTTGGCTGGTAGCGAACAATTTAATGTGATTCTTTGTTTTTATATTTATATTATAACTAATTTTTGCACATTTTAGTACAAATATTTGTTTTAACTTTAATTTAGTTTGATTTGAACAGTACGTTTTACTGTAAATATTTGTTATATATTAAATTTTTATTAATTTTATAATTTTAATTCTTAATTTCATCATAAACTCTTTTTGGGGATTTAGTAAAAAGTTATACAATTAACATGATTTGGTGATTGTGGCAACAAAAAAAAAAAACATCTTGAAAGAAAAAATTTATACGATGACATCATATACCAAAACTGTTATGAGTTAAACACGCATGGAATAAATTATCAAGTTTGCAGATTGCGGTAATATTATACTGACTCTGAGAACCAAAAAAAATGGAGACGGCGAGCTTCGACTAAATCGTGATTTTTATATTTAATGGTGTGCATTCATTATATAGTTTTAATCAAAAAAGTTGTTTTTTTTAAACATTTTCTTTTATATGAACACAACTTGTCTCGGCAGTTGGGGATCCCTTTAATATTAATTAAATGTAAATTTGCTCTCCTTACTAATATTCAAGTATAGATGTGCTCATCCATAAATTTAATAAATGTAGGTGTGCTGACCTTAATAATGTTTCAATGTAGATGTGCTTGCCTTAAGAATATTTAAATCTAGATATGCTGACCTTAATATTGTTTAAAATTAGATATGCTCACTTAAAGTTTTTTAAGTTTAGATTTGCTCACTTTAATACTATTTATTTATAGAAGTGCACACCTTTGTTTGTGTTCAATAGTAGTTAGTTACAGCATATAATAGAACAGTTACTAATGATGTCATATTAATTCTCACTCCTTATATTATCCTCATCTATATTATGATTATAATGATTGTCGTTTTCAGTGTCATCATTTTTATTATCCTGATTGTCACAATCATATCATAATTATTTTAACAATGTGTTGTTGTTGTTTTTTTAGAGTAAGCTAAATAGTATTATTGACCAACTTGAGCCAGATAAAGTCGAGGAAGATTATTTCAGGTTGTTTTTTTTCAAATTTGTTTTTAAAACAAAAAATATTAAATATCTTGCAAATCAAAAAATCTGATTTTATGACATTATTTTTTGTTAATCAACTCTCTAATTATTATTGTTATAACTTCTAACTACTGAAAATTGAAAAAAACATCCAATCCATTAATTTTCTATAATATAAACTTTTATAACTTCTAATTATACTTCTTTTGTTATTTAATTATATTGTTAATTTTTATACTTATTTACTTCTCAATACTAAAGTAATATGATTTGATATTTGTGTAATAATATTCATATTAATTCATTAATATTTCAATGTAGTAGTATCCCGGTGGAAAATCAGCTATTGAATAGCTAGCTATAGTATCAATAGAGACATCGATTTGGCCATGAGGATTGCTTTTTTAAGTTAGCAAAATACCTATCGATATTTGTTAGGATAAAGATAGTGACTTGGCTACACATTTGGCTACCTTAATAAGCTAAAGACCCACTGGCTATTAGTAAATGACCGATGCCCTGGCCTTAGCTGAAAGTTACTTTTTGCAAACTGGGTTCTGGCAAAATAATAAAATTTAGCAGGGGTTGATAGCCTGGGCTAGAAAAAATTTTATAATACTTTATACATTATAATTTTATGCTTACATTTACTAATTATTAAATACTGGCATACATTAAAATATTTTTAAACTCTAATTTACTTCCAACAAGATTGCAAGCAACCATTATTAAGTTATGAGTTACTTTAAAATAGAATAAGTTAAAATACTAGAAAATGTATAACTGAAGACTCAAAGTGTTGTATGTTGTATAAAAAAAGGAAAACATGAAGATGGGTAAGAGTTATGAAGGTTTTTTTACCACAAGCCATAGACTGTTAGGCCATAGACTGTTACAGAAGAGAGATCAGATTTAAAATTGGCTGGTTGTTCTAAGCAATTAAAAAGTGAAGATTTTTTTTCAAGACAAGAGTATAAAGTTGAGTCGTCAACAAATAGAGCTACTTTAGATTTCATGAAGATCGTTATTGTAGATAAGAAACAATACAGGAGCAAAGATTTGTGGAACCCTTAAAAAAATGAGGTTTGAAAATTATTGCCGACCTCGTTTTTTCTAATTCCAAGGGTTGCAGCTACAAAACTACAATATTTAGCTAGCAACACATTGCTACAAAACCGCAATGTTTAAAGTTCAATATTCTCATAATTATAATAGACTTGACACTAAAAATTAAGTTTTTAAAGATGTTAAAGACAGGAAAAAAAATCGATAATGTTTTTTGTTATTGATTTGAAAAAAATTATTAATTAACAAATATTTTTCCTTTTTTTTTTCTTTTTAATTCATTCAAATTAAATTTTTCGAATATTAGAAGTTGCTTTTTTTAAAAAGTTAAATAATCTAAATTCTGATTTAAAAGTTTACAAAAGTTTTTGTTGTCAATAATACGATCAAGAATTTTTTATTATTTGTATGATTTTTTATTGAAATAATTTTCTGGGATTTTCATAGAAAAAAATTTCCGGGATTTTTATAATTTCAAAAACTCATCTATGAAAGCTAGCTAGTCGCTAGTTCATTTTCCACTGGGATTATTATATAGTTATATATTACTAACCAATAATACTTACCATTATTATAATATAGGAGTTTGAGTCCTCAACAAAAGATTAAAGGCAATAGGTGAAAATCATACTGTGATAGATTTAAGAGTTAATTAATTTAAGACCTAAGTATAAATTTTTTTTTTTTTTTAATATTTGTTATTCTTGTTATTTTTTTTCTTGTCTATTTCTGTATTTTTTCTAGTATATTGTTTAAATTTGTAAAAAAAAATTATAATCATAAACAAAATTTTAGTGATGTACCAGTGAATTAGCATTCACTGGTACATTACTAAAATTTGTGTGATGTACCAGTGAATTAGCATTCACTGGTACATCACTGAAATTATTTAACATTATTGTTTTTGCTACATCACTGGATATAACAAAAACAATAATGTTAAATGATAATATAATGAGTAGTAGTATAATAAATAACAAGATATTTTTTTATTAATAAAGAAAAATGAAACAGGAAATTTTAACTGAAGATGAAGATGGCAGTGATTTATCTGAAAGTATTTCAAAAGGGGATAAGCATACTAGTTTAAGGTATAATGTTTTATAACATAATGCTGTATGCTAAATAAGTTTTATATGTGTATTCTATCTATGTATATTATATATATTCTATTGTATAATGGTGTATACCAGGGGTGGCCAGACTTTTTTGGACATAGCCAGAAAGATCTTTATCAGGTTACCAGGATGGTAACCTGATACAGATCTTTCTGTATCAGGTTTCTATCAAGTATCAGGTTACCAAGATGGTTGTCAGTCAGAGTTGATCTATGTTTGCTTTTTATGTAATTCATTAAAAAAAATTAATGAATTACATAAAAAGAGACAAATCTTAGTGCTATATCATTGAGTTTAGGAAAGTTTTTTTTTTAATAAATTTTCAGAATGATCTGGCACAATCAGCGATATACACAGCTCTTGAAATTTGCTTTTTAATCCTGTGTGGTTTGAAATTTGTGATTTCCAATTGCAACTTATAGTTGCAAATATCATCTAATATAGTGAATGGGTTGATAAAGAGGAAAATGTTCTTAGCTTTAAAATTTGTAAAGCAAGTTTCAAATGATTGTAAGTTTGAAAATGACAACATTGTACTTTTGAAACGCGACACTGGTAATCTTACTTTCAATATAGGGGAGACCGGGGCTAGTTGGCAGCAGGGGTAAGTTGACGAATTGCGTTTATCTGCAAAGTTTTTCATCAAAAAGTGCCAATAATTTCAGGAAATCTTAGTTGACCATTTCAACTTTCACTGTAGTATTGTGGGGATTTGCGCATGCGCATAACAGATATTGTGATTTATGTGTTTTTTCCACATTTTTGTAACTTTTACAACTTCTTTATTTTTTCAATTTTTAAAAACAATTTCTTCAAGTACACGTAAACTTGATTTGAGTTATATCTTGCATGGTTCAGTAAAATCTGTCCAACCATTATTTTTTATTTATATACGTTTTTCAGGGATCTGTAAGGGAATTTGTTACCAAATAGCTGTCGGGTTTAGTTGGCAAAATTTTGGCGGGGAAAGTTGGCTGTATATATCAACTAAACCCGGTTGCGATTGGACATAAATTTCAGCTTTTTCTATAACTTTTGATTTTTTTTTTTTAAATCGATTAGACAGATAGATCACATATATTACATGCAAAACTATAAAAGAAAAACAAAGAGAGCTATAACTCCTCAAAATGTTATAAAAAATGCCGTTGATGCTTTTTTATTAGAAGTAAAATCTATACGAAAAACAGCCTAAGACTTTAATATCCCTGAAAAAAGTTTGTCCCAATACTGCAAAAGCAACAGCGTCATGGTCAGCAAGTATCAGGTTACATAAAATTTAGACAGGTCAGTATATATATATATATATATATATATATATATATATATATATATATATATATATATATATATATATATATATATATATATATATATATATATTGTATATAAAAATTATGTTAGTGTTATTATTTACAAATAGAGTGCTCAATGATCTTAAAAAATATTTAAGTTATATTTTATAACTGTGTATTAGTATGTGTTATAACACATACTAATACAATGTGTGTGTTTGTGTGTGTGTGTGTGTTATAACACATACTAATACTAATGTGTGTGTGTTAACACACACACAGTTATAAAATATAACTACTATGTTCTTTAACACATAGTGTAATGTGTGTGTGTCTGTGTGTGTGTAAACACACACACACACAGACACACACACAGTTATAAAACATAACTGTTATGTGCTTATTGACAGTTTTTTGTGCTCAAAAGGCACAAAAAACTGTCAATAAGAAAACCTGAGGCAACAAGTCAAGCACGTGTTTCTAGTTTTAATCCAACAAATGTTCAAAAGTTTTACAACAATTTACAAACTATTCTTAATCGTTTAAAGTTGGAAAGTGGAGATATTTGGAATATGGCTGAAACTGGTATTACCACAGTTCAAACTCCAGATCATATTGTAGCAAGAAAGGGTTTTAAACAAATTGGGCGTGTTACTTCGGCTGAGAGAGGCAATTTAGTAACTGTGGCAGTTTCTGCCAGTGGAAATTCAATTCCTCCATTTTTCATATTTCCTCGTGTGAAATTTAAAAGCTATTTTTTAAATAGTACTCCTGATGGAAGTGCAGGCGCTGCAAACCCATCTGGTTGGATGGCTGAAGTTCAATTTTTGCAGTTTTCCCATCATTTTGTCAAATATGCCAGAAGTACAAAAGAACGACCTGTTTTGTTGCTATTTGACAATCATGACTCTCATCTTTCAGTAGAGGCTTTAGATTACTTTAAAGAAAATGGGGTATCCGTTTGTTCATTTCCTCCTCATTGCAGCCATAAACTTCAACCTCTAGATCGAAGTGTATTTGGACCTTTTAAAAAATACACAAACACAGCTTGTGATGCGTGGATGACAATGCACCCTGGTTCCACAATGTCTATTTACAGTATACCAGGTATTATGGGTAGCTCATTTCCATTAGCATGTACCCCTAATAATATCAAATTTGGGTAAATTCCTGGTTTTGCAAAAACAGGAATTTACCCAAAAAATGTTAACAATTTGGTGAACACAATTTTATGCCAGCCTATACCATAGATAGACCACCTCCGAAACAAGACTGTGCTGTGGAAAGTACAGCGCTAAATATAAGTAATGTAACGGATGTTGACTTTACAATATCTGAGAATGACATGTTAAATGCTGTTTGCTCAAAAGATATAGAACCACGTCAAGATATTTCATATTCAAACAGTAATGATGTACACAGTGCAGAGTCAACTGTAGTTCTATCGCCTGAAGATTTAAGACCATTCAAAAAAGCTGAACCAAGAAAAAGAGTTAGGGCTAATAAAAGAAGTAGAACCACATCAATTTTAACAGATTCACCAATTATGAATGTTTTAAAATTAGAGAAAGAATCAGCTAAAAAGAAAAAGTTAGCAATTGAAGAGAAAAAACAAGCAAAAAAGTTAAATGAAGATAATATTAAGATGAGTAAAAGATCAAATAGGAAAGGAAGTTTACACTTAATGGAGAAAAGTTTGAGTTGTCGAAATAGCTCTGTTGAAGAGAAGTGTTTTTGTTTGGTTTGTGTTGGAATGTTTTCTAAAAGTAAACCAGAAGAAGTTTGGATTCAATGCATCCAATGTCACCTTTGGGCTCACAAGTCATGTATAATCGGAAAATCTTTGTTTTTCATTTGCAATAATTGCTGCTAGCCAATCTGAAACTCCATTAGTTAAAAATATTCATGTAATAAAACAATATAAGTTTTAATTCTTATTGTATAACCATAAATTGGGAACACTGTTTTGTTTTGTCACTGTATTTTTTAATTATATTTACTTTCTATTGCTTAAAATGTTACAATGACTTGATCCAAATATTTGATGATATTGATAAAAGTATATTTCAGCTATGATTCTTTTAAAAATAAGGGGCGGGGAGTTAAAATATTATTGGAATACACTTAAATAGGACCTTTAACTTTAGCTTTTATTATTGCGAGTCAACTTACCCCTTGAGTATAAGCAACTTACCCCAGGGTGGGGTAAGTTGGCGCAATTTTTTTTTTTTTTTTTTTTTAGAGGGCCCAGAAAGGCCCCAAAATATTTTTTTTTGTAAATGAATGCAACTTTTATAAGTTACCCAAGTTCATACTCTTTGAAACTACACTTTTATATTTTCAAAAAAATGTTCTGTTAGGACTACAGAGCTCATAGAGTAAAAACCTAGTCAACTAGCCCCGGTCTCCCCTAATAATTTTCAAGTGTTGGAAATAGATAAAAAGTTTTCTGTGATAAACTGTAAACAATTTGAATTGGTCTTAAAAGATAACTTAAAAGACTCAAAAAATTTGAAACTTGGTCTTAAAAGCATTAATTTGATAACCTTTTGATAACCATTAAACAGAAACAATGTAATAAGAGTTTTTCGTGTTTATTTGTTTCATTTTCAAAAAAATGAAATAAGAGAAACACATACACTGTGCTTTCCAACCATTGCAATGCGCCATCAGTTTTGATTTTCAATAAATGTTTTAAATGTTTCAAAAATATCAGATCAGCTTGTTGAGGTTTGAAGCTGGCAGAGGCCAAGAAGTTCTTGGACAACATCAAAGTTATCCTTGACACATCTTACTAATAATTAAGGATTAACAGTTAAATAATAACTTTCATCAGTAGCTATTGAAAAGTACTTTAAAAGTGAGAAGGCAACAATGATTTGTTTTGATACATTAGAGGCCATTTCTTCAACTCTTCTCATAACTGTGTTTTTGGAAAGAGCAATATTTTGTGACAATTTCTTTATGCTTGAGTCTCCAATGATTTTAGCAAAAATTGATAAATATTCTTTTAGAATTTCCCAATATGAAAAATTTTTTCTTTTGCAGAAGAAGACAAGAAATTTGGAATGAAGCTTTCATCATTGTTTTCATTTCTTGCTGTTTTTTGACAAGCAAATTTTGTTGAGATAAAAAGTTTTTTTTTCAGAACTTTTTTTTGAGATACAAAACTTGTTCTGAGAGCAGATTCGTAAGGATAATTAACATTGAATTCATTGTGTAAATGTTTCAAAATGTCCTTGCATATTATATTTTTTCATCGCAGCAATAGTTTCAAATCAAACAGATTGTCTGATCTGTTCATTGCACAATGAATTCAATGTTAATTATTTTTACTGATCTGCTCTCAGAACAAGTTTTGTATCTCAAAAAAAAGCTCTGAAAAAAAATTTTTTTATCTCAACAAAATTTGTTCGTCAAAAAATAGCAAGAAATAATAAACAAGGATGAAAGCATCATTTCAAATTTCTCTTCTTTTTGCGCAGGTTTTGAAGATTGAGAATGGATAAACAAAAATTTCTCTTCCCACGCATCTTTAAAAAAGCATCTTATTAGTTCTTTTTTACTTTTTCTTTTTTGTTATGATGAAATTTCTTGATTCAATTCAAACCTTAGTAAAATAATTTTCTAATGACAAAAAAATATTTTTTCCAGCAAATACTGTAACTTAAAATCCTAAAGATTGTTACATCGAAGGTTAACTTGCATTTTGTGTACATAAACCATGAAAGTATTAATGCAATTTTTTGATTTTTTTTTTTTAATTTTTAATGTAATTTGAAAAATAAATGTTATGAAAACCTGGATTGATATAATACAAAATTTACTAGATTTACTGATATTTTTTATTTGTTATTTTGTTAAAGATATAAATTCACTTATGTATAAACTGTTATAAATTTGTTTAGTGAAGGTGAAGTAAATTTGTTTAGTGAAGGTGACCAAGATGAGGAGGAAAATAATGGCGAGAATGATGATGATGAGCAAGAGAAAAATGGGGAAGACTATGATGATAATGATGACGATGACGATGATGATAATGATGACGATGATGATGATGATGATGAAGAAGAAGAAGAGGACAGTGAAGTTAAAAAGAAAAACATAAGAAACAAAGATAATTATGTAAGATTTCTAAACATTAGTGACCATGTCCATTGAACCACTTGTCTTCAGCCCAAAACATAAGATCAATCCTGAAATTTTCATTTTTATTATTAACTTTATTTTGCAAAATAACATGGTTTTTATGAAATCAAAAATTATTTATTTGATCAAATGAGTAATAACAATGGTAAAACATTTAGAATGTTTATTTGATGCAGGATTTATAAAATGAACTTGAAACTTTAAAATGTTAAGTAAAACACACTTAAAAATTGAGAAAACTATAAGTTTTTTTAAAAATTCAATATGTGGTATACTAATATGAATATTGTAAAGTAAAAAGAATTTTCTACGTGTTGTTGGTTATATCATAGATCATTTATTTAGATTAAACTAGAGTTTGCTGGCAATCTCTACTCCTTATGATTATATTTTACCAATATAAATGAGTTTAACTTCTCGTTTTTGATGGAAATCAAATCTTTTTTTGTCTCACAATTTTGTTTTGATATTTTTTGGTATTTGAATTTTAGAGTAATCATATAATTTAAAAACTTTATATATCACAACCTGAGCACAACAAGGTTTTACTTTCAATAGATTCTATTGTGGTTAGAACCTTGTTGTTTTGAGGTTGCAATATAGTTATTCAGAAGTTATACTCCTGAATAACTATATCTATAACTAAGGTAATTGAACATTATATAGAACATTTTTTAACGAAATAATAAATTTTTTGAGACTGTTTGATGTATAATCATGTAAAAGTATTTATTTATATTAAAAGTGATGCAAATGTTTCCTATTGTTTTGCTATTTATAATAATTGGTAACGTGGATATCTATTTGAATGTCCTTGGTCAAAGTAACTTACCTTGAAAAAAGAAATCTTTGTTTTAAAATCTCCAATTTAGGTGTGGGTAAGGGTAGGAGGAGCTTTTAAACCTTGTATGGTAATCCTCCTAGTGGTAGTATCACAAAAATGCTGATTTGCATAACAGGTTAATGTGTCAGGTAAGGTATAAAGTAATTGTAAATCATTGTAAATGTTCACATTTAAATGCTGTCTCAAATTTTCCATAATATCATATTTAAATTTAATGGAAAGTTTGTTTTCATCAAACCTCTTCTACCGCATAAGTGCGGAAACATGGGCATTAAACTTAACAAATAACAAAAAAAAGTAAAATAAAAATGAATTGGTTCTAATACAAAAAGTTACTAAAAAACAGGATGTTGATTAATGACTATAACCAATTTTTAAGTTTGAAAAACTATTTGTAATTTTTTTAAAATTGAAGTAAGAGTCAACTTGTGGAACAGATAATGAACAGGTAAAATATATTGATGAACCTTTTGGGTGGAGAAACTTAACTTTGGTGTCACTTTTTTCCCAGCTGATTTTTTTTTTTGCCACAAAACATAACCTTCTAAGGTAACAGGTTGAAATACATCTCATTTTAAAATTTGCGAATTATTGTGTAGTTAATATCTCTTTTCCTAAATCCTGTTATATCCCAGATCTATTGTAATTAACCCTGTTATATCCAAGATCTATAAACTGATGCAAGCTATAAGAACCTGGTAGATTTTTTACACCACTGCACCTTTCTGTTTTTTTTCTTTGCAGTTGTAAATGTGATGTAAATAAAGTTAACAACTTTGTATTTTTGATATGGTTCTTTTAAACTTTTTGATATAGTTGTTTCAAACTATTTGTGTTGTCAAAAAAAAGACATTTAGAAATTTAGCTCATAGTTAAAATAGCTCTTTTGTAAGTATAGATTTTAAAAGCTTTTATAGATTTTTTACTTCACAGCCATTAGTATATTAATAAATGTATTTTAGAAAAATGGGAAAGTTTTGCTTTTACTGTGGATATGATTAATTTAAATGTTTTGTAAATAGCAATTACATAGTTTGTAATGTCTGATATAAAACAGTAAGAAATATGTTTTAGTATACTTCTCTTGACTTAATATTGTACATAATATTATTCTTCATATTACTAATAATATGGAGAATGATATCTCCCTATTTTAGCTTGGACTACGAAAGCATAGTTTTTTGCGAAGTCACCAATGAGTTTATCCCGATCACATACATATGTATGGTGAACTATTTTACCGGTGCAATCATCTTTACCAGTGCAATCATCTCACTCTGCCAGCACGCATTGTTTTATTTACTATTGAGGAAAGGGTTTTTGAAAGTAAATCTTTATGTTTCACCAATTTAAAAGTGAGTCTGCTAGCAATTATGTATATTGTTAATACAAACCAAAATGAAAATTCGATAAATAAACACAAGCAAAATGTGAATTAAATTACAAAATGACAAATAAATTTAAACAAAATGTGTCATAGGAAATGACAAATAAATACAACAAAATGTGTAATTGAAATGACAAATAAATACAAACAAAATGTGTAATTCAAAATGGCAAATAAATACAAGCAAAATATGTAATACGAAATGACAAATAAATACAAACAAAAAGAGTTATACAAAAGGACAAATACTTTTAACAAATCTTGCTTTTTTACTCAACTTTTTATAAATTAAGTTTTCAAAACCAATACATATTATTATCTCATTTGGTTGCTTTTTATATAAAAAATTGTAATAGAAAAAACAACCTTTAAAAAACATATAATTATTTACTATCTTTACAGCCAAAAGTGTGAAGTCCAGATGAGCATACTCTGCCGCTGGGTTTTTATGTTCAAAAATTTGCATAAAATTAAGCAATAAAATGGTTGATGATTTTGTTTTTTAGGATAGTACTTTCAAAAATAAATATAACTCATGTATATTCATGCATGTTCATATTATTTTAGTTATTATTTTTATTTATACTGTGTTTTCATTTTAAGGTATTATTTATATTTAATTTTTTCATTTTAAGGTATTGTTTTATATTTAAATAGCTTAAGTTCATTAATTACAAAAATATTTTATTTATATTATCATTAAATTAATCATTGTTAATTGTTTGATAAATCCTTTAAACATTCTTCTTATGCTTTACTTTCTGCAATTGTGTTTTTTTCTATTCAATTTCAGGATTTCCTGGAGACAAGTTTCTCAATATCGAAATCCTGAGATTGAAAATGCCCAGGATTTTTGCCATCCCTATGTCACAATTACATAGGAATTTCTAATATGTAACAATGTTATTATAAATATTACTTTTTCTTAGATTGTCAAATAAATTGGTAACAGTCAGTATGTAGTTTGTACAGTCACAAAAATTTTTATAAAGAACTGAAAGTGACATTAAAATGCTCAACTCTCAGTTAAAAAATCAGCTATAACACCATCTGCATCAAAACTTTGAATGTGACCAACAGCCGGCTTTAATGTACATTAGAGCAAAACTTTTAAAAGTTTCTTATTTTTTTTTTTATTTGTTGAAAGTAGTTTCTTGAAAAAAGTGTGGTTAGTCTTTTAAAATATTTAAAGTTATAGTTTTGTATGCTTTTCTTGTTTTTTTAGTTTTTTTGATATAAGTAACTAAAAATATTAAATTTCAAAAAAAAAATGTTTAACAACGATGTTTTGTGATATTTGATCCCAAAGTTGGGTTATATAAATAAGTTATGTATATATTAGAAAAACAACTAACTTATGATGTAAGCTAGTTTTCTTAATTTTTAAGCATTTTCCCTTCTGATTTCAGCATTTTTAATGCATTTTTTGAATTCTGAATCAAAAATTACTAATTCTTATATTTATATATTTTTGCCATTGTTTTTCATTTAATTAAAAAAAAACATTTGAAAAAGTTGTAATAATGGGGTCATTCTTTGAAACAAGTTCAATATTAAAATAACCATTCAATATTTCAGACCTTGCTTATGTACGTAAGCTTTTTCTAAAATGTGACAATCATTTTGTGCGTAATCTTTTCCCAAAATATAATAACTATGAGGTTTGAAGAAAATGTAATAACCATGAGGTTTGAAAAAATATGAGAAATCATGGTTTGAAATTTACAAAAATTTGAAAGATTTGATGCTGAAATTAATCTAAAACCTCATTTTTGGTTAAGCAAAGCATTAACTTTAGATATAAAAATGTATAAAGTAAAAATTTAATTTTATAATAAATATAATATAAATAAATTATATTTATAGTTTTTATATAATATATAAAAAATATAAATATAATATATAATTTATACTTTTAATATATTATATAAAGAATAATAAATAATACTCCATTATTATTTGTTTTTGTTTTTCTGTAATTCTTCAATTAAGTGGCGTAAAATAAAAATATTTATTTACTTTTTTGCGCTTGTCGCAAATACGTCTGAACATGGGCTGTACATTTCTAATACAGTATTGGACAAAACATTTGCAACCAACATCAACTTTTTTGGTTTGTTTCATTTTCTTAAGTCTGGTCCGTGTCAATGTCACGGAAGTTTTTTAATAATTAAAGGAAGTATCCAGAAGAAGCATCTGGAAGCATCCAGAAACATTCAGAAGCATCTAGACGCATCCAGAAGCTTCCAGAAGCATCAAAAAGGCACATCTAGAATCTTTCAGAACAGGATTGCACAGGTTCATTTTACTATATAAGAGACATGTAAACCAACATGTAATTCAGTCAGTATATGGAAGTCAATCAGTCAGTATTATCAAGACAGTTTATCGAAGTGAGTTTTATAAAAGTGTTTTATCGAAGAACGTCAATACAAGAAGTGAAATACAACAATTGTTACATTACATCATTACAGTCCATATCCAACCAAGACAATGTGTTCCGCAGAGCATTATTGTATCATCACAAGGTAAATATAACACGGTTAGCCTTGAAAAGTGTGATTATTTATTTTTATTATTTTTATGACTTCAAGTGCAAAAATGGCTCCTGACAGTCTTGGATTGGGACAAAGAAAGAAAGTTATTGGCGATTACGTAAGTGGAATGTCACAAAAAAGTATTTGTGATAAATATTGCATGAAAAAACAGACCCTATCAAGACTATGTTTCAAATATGGTTCTACG